GAGCCCTAGACCCTGAACATCTAAACCCCTAAACCCCTAAAGCCCTAAATCCCTAAACCCTTAAACCCTGAACCTCTAAACACCTAAACCCCTAAAGCCCTAAACCCCTAAACCCCTAAAGCCCGAAACCCCGAAAAACCGTCTGAAGCGCGAGACCCCCGGGACAGGGCACTTTCGGCACTTCGACCAGCTTCTCTACATACATCGTCTGCGGGACCTGCAGGCACAAAGCGGCTTGGGGCCGGTGGTTTAGGGATTCCCTTATATAAGGGTTTCCTCTAACGGTACCGTAGAGGGTTCTTTTGAGGGTTCACTATACTAAGGGTGCTACTAAACCCGAAACCCTGAACCCTAAACCCTAAACCCTAAACCCTAAACCCTAAACCCTAAACCCTAAACTCTAAACCTGAACCCTAAACCCCGAAAGGGTTCCCTGAAGGGTTTAGGTCTGGGCATCCCCCTAAACACTGCGGATTAGGGATCCTGAAAAAGAGGCTTAGGGAGCCCGGAAACAAATCTCTTGAGTTCCCAAGGGTCCTGAGGATTATGGTGTTGTTCATACTAGAGTTTAGGATTTAGTGGTTTAGGGTCCAGGGTTTAGGGTTCAGGGTTTAGGGGTTTGGGGTTTAGGGTTGAGGGTTTAGGGGAGGCTTCGGGATCTAGTAGTTTCCATCAGGCTTGGGCGATCTAGTGCTTCCTCTTCAGTGATTAGGGTGTGGGTTTCGGCTTTAGTTTTATCCGATTGTTCCGATTGTTCTGTAAGGGCTGTGGAATCACAGTGCCAGTCGTTGAGCAAACTGCATCAGAACTTAGAAAGCGTTTAGGGCGTGAAGGAACTGAGCACGGAGTATACTTAGAGGTTCAGAAAACATAGCTAGCAGGGTTATGCGTACCCTAGGTGGGGCCTTTAAGCAAGTCAAGCTCTAGCTGCGCTACTTGTTAAGCCCCCGGATCCCTGACACGGCGATCTCCGACAAATCTCCAAAACCCAGAAGCCCTAAAGCTGGAATGGCTGAGGGGTTTCGGGTCTCTGGTTACCCTGTAGCCAAGAACCAACCTTTTCAAAAGGTAAGCCTTTTGGCTACAGGTAGGGTTGAAGTTGAAGGTTTAGGGGTTTTCGCCCCTAAACCTAAACCCTCCCCGAACCCTCGAGCCGGAAGCCCTGAACCATAAGCCCTGAGCCCCAAACCTTAACTCTTATAGGGGTTTGGGGGCTTAGGGTCTAGGGTTTAGGGTATAGGGGTTCAGGGTTTAGGGTTTTGGGTTTAGGATGTCGGATCCCTTAACCAAAACTCAAGGAAACCGCCCGAGAATCCTGATAGAACCATTTCAGAATCCTTAAAGAAATGGGGGTTTCCGAAAATAGGGACCCTAATATAGTACCCTAAATAATAGGATCCTTATTATAAGGACCCCAAAATAAGGTAACCGTATTTTCGGAAGATCCCAAATCCTTGTAATACGCGGCTTCCCATCTGATGCTTTTTCTCTCGCGCTTGAGTGGGCTCTCCGCGCACATCTGCCGCAGCCAAAATCTTTCCTTGAGCCCAGGTTTGACGTTGGGACCAGAGTGTAGCTTGGGCTTGCAGGGTTTAAGGTTGCAGGCTTGGCGCTTAAGGGCCCTGGCAAAAAGCTTATGGCCAGGGTTTAGAGCTAAGGCTGGGCCAAGATCTGCGTGGTAATGCAGGTTGTCCAAAACCGCAAAGGGATTCCGGCTGTTGGGATCAAGAGTTGCGGACCCTAAACCCTAAACCCTAAACCCTAAACCCTAAACCCTAAACCCTAAACCCTAAACCCTAAACCCTAAACCCTAAACCCTAATAGGTTTGGCAAGGAGTCCGTGCCCGATTTAGCGTTTGGGGGATCAGGGTGTGGGGTGCGAGTGCAGGGGCGGTGTCCAGAGCCACATAAGGGTTCATGTGCTAAAGACCCCGCCGTGAAATCACAAACCCTAGAACCCCTAGAACCCCTAAACCCCTAAACTCCTAAACCCCTAAACCCTAAACCCCTAAACCCCTAAACCCCTAAACTCCTAAACCCTAAACCCTAAACCAACCCTAAACCCCAAATCCTAGAACCCCTAAACCCCTAAGGGGCCCCTAAGCCCCTAAAAAGCCCCGGAGCTCGGATCCCCCTGAACACTTTGGGTGCATCCCTGGCACGCACTGGGCAAGTAGCAACAGCAGGGACTCGCCGGAATGCGCAGCTTCCTTGGCTCGAGGCTTCTTCTGTCTGGTGCTCAGTCGGGAATGGGGGAATGGATCCCTATGATAGTCCCTTAAGGTCCCTTATAGTAGTCCCTATAATCCTCAGTCGGGAATGGGGGAATGGATTATAGGGACTACTATAAGGGACCTTAAGGGACTATCATAGGGATCCATTCCCCCATTCCCTACTAAGCACCAGACAGTCTTGGTCTGCAGGGAGCCAGCCCAAGACCCCTTGCAATGGAAGGTTCTTCCCCGAGTTCAGGGTTTAGGGTTCAGAACCTAAACCCTAAACCCTAAACCGTAAACCCGAAACTGGAAGGGCCTTAAGTCTTAAGCACTGAGGAGATTGAAGTGCCAAGGGTCTGAACTAGAAGTTGGCCTTACCTCTGGGCCGGGGGGGCCTTCCTAACGGCCGAAAACCGAACCCCAGAACCCCGAAACCCTACTGTAGGGGCCTTAATCTGTCTGGTGCTTAGTAGGGAATGGGGGAATGGATCCCTATGATAGTCCCTTAAGGTCCCTTGTAATAGTCCCTATAATCCATTCCCCCATTCCCTACTGAGCACCAGACAGTAATTAATGATTAGAATAGGGTTTTGGGGCCCTGTATAGTAGAATTCTAGCAAGGAACCTCCAAAATAGTATAGCCCTAAACCCTAAACCCTAAACCCTAAACCGTAATCATTTAAGCCCCTACAGTACAGCCCTGAAGCCCTTGAACCCCAGAGCCCCCAAACCCCAAACTCCACAGCGAATCCTAGAAAGTTGGGAACATGGGGCTTAGGATGAGTAGTGCAAGGATCCCTTGAACTCTGCCTTAAGGGTTTAGGGTTTAGGTTTGAGGGTTTAGGGTTTAGGGTTTAGGGTTCCTTGAACGCTACCTCAAGGGTATGAGGACAATAGTGTTCCAACTTTCTGGCTGCTGCTCTAAAACCTTCACAAGATCCTGCAAGGAGGTGTAGCCAGCGGCCCGGGCGACATTGAGATTTCATGATTCAGGGTTTAGAGTTTAGGCTTCCTTTCAAGGCTTTACCAAGTAGGAGTAGGAGTTAGGAGCAGGTGGATTTTTGGTGATATAGACACTCTCAAGAAGGTCCCTTTTCAGAGAGCCGTAAGTAGGGCTCCCAAGGGGCGCCTTTTAAGGGGTCTCCCAAATACTTACTACCTACGGCTGATGATATAAATCTGCACTATCTTAAGGACCCTAATCTATGGGAGTTATGGTATATTCCTTATTATGGCTAGTGCAGGATTTATACCATCAACCATGGGACTCACAGATTCTAGCGGGTCTTGGGCTCCGGGTTCCGGGATTCGGGCTTTGGCATTTCGGGGTGTCATTCTTGGTTTGTGGTTTTAGGGTTTAGGGTTCATGGTTCAGGGTCTAGGGTTTAAGGTTCGGGGTTCAGGGTTTAGGGTTTAGGGTGGTGTCAGGGTTCAGGGTTTAGGGTTCAGGGATTGGGTTTGGGGTGGTTTTGGGAGTTCTGCATCAATCTTGAGCCCTGTCTTCCATGGGATTTGAAACCACTACCGCGAAACTCTCAACAAACGAATCTCAAACACGAAAGGGGATGAAGGGGTTTTTAAAGCTCTAATCCTAAACCCTCTCTAAACCCTAAACCGCTAAACCCCTCAACCCTAAGGTCTGGCTCTGCGCCTTCCACCTCGCGGCACTTTAGAATCACAAATAGATCCCTTGATGGAACGCTTTTAGGACCTCTTTGAGGAATCTCTTTCAAGACCCCTTTTAAGGACGACTCTAGACAACTGCCAAACATGTGGATCCCATGCCACAGCAAAGTCGCTTCAACCCGCAACCCGAAGCCCTAGACCCCATACAGGAAACCCTACAGCCGAAGCTCTAAAGGTGCCAAGGTGCACAGGACATGCTGGCATCTTCGTATGCGATGACCTCAGTCTTGTGAGGGTGGACGCTTAAGCGCACGGACCTGTCAACGACGAGCACCCTTTTCTGGGTGCCTTAATCATGAACGTGGCTTTGGGGTGTCGTTCTTGCATTACTATATAGGGACCATGCCGAGACACTATTTCTATTTATTCTGATCTCTCTAGTAGCTCAGGGGTGAAAATTGCCAACACCACCGGACTTGGTATGCTCTGCAAGAAAACTTAGCACGCCTGTCCGGTGACCGAGGGCACCAAGCGTGTCCTCAACAACTGCCAACAAAATTGAACGTTGCCAACATTTCCAATGTCTTTATAGAACGGTCAGCCAAAAATATGACTATTCAGTTTCGTCGTTGTCGCTGGCATCGCCACCGAGTCGTGGTCGAGATTGTCGTTGCAGCAAGTGCAATGACCATAGTCGCTTCTGTCCGAGCATGCATATAAGCCGATGACATGCATGCTGCACCGTGGCTACACCGTGCTACTATAACGTCTTCTCGCAGAACACAATACGGGAATATAATACAGTATCTGTGCTGAGGAGTATGTCCAACAATGGCTCGGAAAATGACAGGAAACAGGTCGGCATCATGCAGTCCAGTATGTCGCGATTCAATTCGTCAGCAAAACGACGGCCGATCTATAATGTAGCTAACCTGATCATGTCTTCTGCGTTGCAGTCCTGAGCGAAGTCCTTAGATGGCCACTAGTGCCATGTAGGTATCACGAATAAGCACGTCATTGTCTTGTCCACTATCAGCATCATGGCCATGATAACCACGAAGGTATATTGACGAACATCATGCGCACCATTGCCGAGCACAGTGATGCCAAGAGAAATGCAATCACCTAGTGCAAACCAGCAGCAGATGCGCACATAGAAGCAGACGCACCGACCCCTTATAAACCTTAACCAGCTCAAAATCTTAAACCCACAACCCAAATGCAAAACTCTAGCACCCCAGACCGTACAAAACTAGAAAACCCCAAACCCTGCAGAGCCGTGCTCTGCAGCGAAGTCAGGGCACGTCAGGGATCACGGCAACCTCCCACATGAGCCCAAGGGTCCTCTGACGCCGACGTGTGCTGGCAAGAGTGA